GCAAGTGGGCCGGCGGCTGCTGCGCCCGGTGAGTTGCCTGCAAGTAGGCCGGCGGCGGCCGCTGCTCTGGGCGCTGATTGCGAGTCACGAGCCTCCACCTTGGTGGCTTGTCGCCTTCTTTGCAGACGACCTGAAGGTTTTCTAGTTTGTACAGGTGATGATTGACATGTTTTTTTTCGACTCTCAATTGTCTGGCTAGATCTCTCGCCGTGTGCGATCTTCCCCCGCCAAGCTCTCGGAATTTTTCGATCAAGCACTCTACAAAATGGTCACCTGACACGGAAAGGTTCTCAAACTGCTGGGCCAAATGATGGCTTCTCTGATCGCGAGGTGGGCGAGCAGGAGGGAGCGGAGGGGGGTGCGAAATCAGCGGAGGACGTGGGGGGTTCCAGTCGGTGGCGTACTGTCCTGGCGGATTTCGGTAGGCGTTCCAGGCGGGGAAGGTGACAGGATTTCCCGATTGATTGCCCTGCAGAAAGTCTCTCTGTGCTAGAAGTAAGGCTTGGTGTTGTTCCTGCGTAGGGAAAGGGTTATGTAAAGAGACAGAATTAGTGTTGTGGTTGAAGCCGCGGCTTTTGTGCAATGGCCTAGCATGCCGCCCTCGGTACGGTGTTGCACTCATTACCAGACATGCACAGAGATGGCAAGGGAGCGATGGGGGAACCCTCCTCTCATACAACAGGCGAGTGGCCCTGTCGAGACAAAACACACAAGCGGCTCACAATTCCCGGCACAACTCCATGCAAACAACTACCATTGATAAAGGGCTATCGGACAAAAAAAAAAAAAAATGATTTCAGTATCTAGCTGATGCCAAATAACAAAACTCAGAGAGCAAAATAACATGTGGCATTGTTCTTTCATTTTTAATCCTGAGTGTAGACTGCTCTTCAATCACGGTCACATGACTTCTGACCATCGCCCAACCCTTCCCATCCTTCAAAGCGACAAGTTCAGACATGCATCACTTTACAGCAGAGGTAGGCATCCCTGGCACTCCAGCTGTGGTGGAACTACAAGACCCATGAGGCATAGCAGGACTGGCAGCCACAAGCACGACTCTGAGGAAGAAGCATGATGGGATCTGTAGTGCCGAGGTTGCCTACCCCTGTGCTACAGGAATAAACCCATAGCAGGTTCTGAAAGGTATCTCTGACTTTAAAAGGGAGAGGTACTTAAAAAAGCTCCCACCCTTCCACCGATATTCTATTTAGCCACCCCACAGCTGGAGTGCCGAAGTTGCCTACTCCTGCGCTACAGGAATAAACCCATAGCAGGTTCTGAAAGGTATCTCTGCCTTTAAAGGGACAGGTATATAGAAAAGCCAACCCCCCCCCTAGCCCTCATGCACACTAGAAACGTCCAGCACTTACAGCTCCGTGCACAGCTGTATCGTCAGCTCCCGGGAAGGACAGGTGCTGCGTGTGATTAGTATGCAGCCCTTGTCCTTCTCTATGAGACTACGCGGCAGTACGCTGCCCTTCGCTCACCTGCCCTGCACGTCCGATGGATCCTGTATGCGCCCGTGCCAGGAAACACGCACCCGCACTTGAGGTGAGCATAAGGGGGCGTACGACTGCGTAGTCCCATAGAGAAGGACGGGGGGCTGCGTAGTCCCGTAGAGAAGGACGGGGGAGGGGGGGCTGCGTACTAATCACACGCAGCACCTGCCCTTCCCGGGAGCTGAGTGATACGGCCCTGCACCAAGCTGTACGCGCCGGCCGATTCTCGTGTCAATGAGGGCTCACACTGATACTCTCTTCACCTTTGCCTTCCAAGTCCTCCAAAAGGTCAAAACGGTTGTCTGAGCTTACACAAGGTTAAAGAACCACTTCCCCCCCCCCATGTGACAGCATTCGGGCCTAGCAATTGGTTGCGGGGTGGTTCTGGAAGGGCATGCCTCAGGGGCGGCCATCCTCTAACCTAACACAAAGACTATTACTTTCCTGCTCAGTGACTAAATAGAACACAAAAGCCCAAAAGTAAGCAGCAAGCATATTCAAAAAAAAAGTGTCAGATAGCAAATGACAGGCCTATGACCCAAACTGTTTCACTTTGAGGAATATTTCCTGACTGGTAGCAATCTCGAGTTTCAGTTTCCTTTCTCATGTAGCTCCCTCCCTTATGAATGAGCCAAGCTCGTGAAACCAGAATGACGAGGCGGGCCTCTGAGGGGGCCGGCAGCCAATCGTGACCTGCCGGGGGCGGGGTCACGGTGCACAGCAGTTGAATGAAGCAATAAACACACAGAGACTGACACGAGCTGCAGAGGAGAAGGCCAGCCGAGCGGCTCAAAGTGCCGAGATCAGCAACTTAACCCGTGCGTGGCGCTTACGCCACCCGACGCGGCTCTCCGGGGTGACAACCGTCTAAACTGCCAGGACAACCTGTAGTCACAAAGAGACCAGTGTGCCAGCGTAACCAGCAAGACATGGCATGCTGGGGGTTTTAGTTCCTCAACGGCTGAGCTCGGTCTAGAATGTACTCCTCTCCACCACCCGCTGAGCTCCGTCTAGAACTAACTCCTCTCCACCACCCGCTGAGCTCCGTCTAGAATGATCTCTTCACCACCCGCTGAGCTCCGTCTAGAACTAACTCCTCTCCACCAACCGCTGAGCTCTGTCTAGAATAATCTCCTCTCCCCCATCCGCTGAGCTCTGTCTAGAATGTACTCCTCTCCACCACCCGCTGAGCTCTGTCTAGAATGTACTCCTCTCCACCACCCGCTGAGCTCCGTCTAGAATGTACTCCTCTCCACCACCCGCTGAGCTCAGTCTAGAAAGGACTCCTCGCCACC